TAAGCATTGGACACACCAAGATATTTTAACACATCCTTTGGGGAAAAGCTGACAGTGGGATGACTTTAAACTATAGAATTAAATGTGAATAATAAGAAAGCATCCTCACAGAAATGCTTTGTGTATACATCCACATCACCTCTGACTCACAGAGTGTCTAAAAACATGGCTGGGTGACCCCCTCCTCTCCAAATCATCAATTAGAAATCAATGAGGTGGTCTCACAGAGTATGAGCTTCTTTATAAATCAAATGTTTTAGGAAACAGGAAGCTCTTTTACCCCATCTGATGAACAGAAATGATAACAAGAGCTACTAGTCTCTCTGACAATTGGGGTTATCATTTCCCTCAAATCTCAAGATGTATGTAAGGCAAACCAATGGGTATGTGGAAAGGGCGCAAGAAGCTGGTGGACAAGTAAAACTGTTGGTCCTGCACTTGTTAAGAGGAGGAGGGGTGTCCAAGACAAGCCGGGGAGTCAAAGTAGTAGATTCCAATTCATTCATAGGTTGTGTTTCAACCCCTCTACTTGTTGGGGGTCCTCGATGTATGATGATGTGTAGTCCATTCGCCTCTGCTTAGTGTCCTCCCACACACCCTTTATTCGCTCCACCCCTGAGGAGAGGGGGTAGGTATTGGCATAAAAGGATCAAGTCCAAAGACAACTGACAGAACTTTTTAAAAGGTAAAGCTTTTGATACAATGTCAGAAGAGTTAAGAGCTGATATTTCAAACCTAGTGTGTCTTTTCTCTTTATTTGATGTCTCTGGTTGCTCCTTTCTTTGCCCCCCCAAGCAGCTGGTCTCTTTAGAAGGGCCTATAGTTGCTTCCTGCTTAGAAAGGACCCTATCTCAGGCTTTCTGGGGTCCATAAAGAAGACCTATGGACTTGCTCTAGAAGGGGCCTTGGACTAGAGGCATTGGGGTCCATTTGGCCCACCATCATCTGGCCCCAATCACCAAAGCCACCTTTCAACAGTGAGACTTATGGTCAGAGATTTATAGCAATAAATATTGGATATTTCCCTGGATTTGTTCTCTGAGTGTATGGTCAAATTCAACAAATATTTATTAATTATATGCCACAACAAAGTTTTGCCCTTGTGTAGCTTATGTTCTAATAGGGGAAAGACAGCTGGTAAACTAATAAATATTTAATGTCACATGATGACAAAAGAAAGGGGTGGTAATGGACTATTCCACAAGATGTTCATGAAGGTTTCTGTGGAGATGATACATAGCAGAGACCTACATTGAATGAGGGAGGGAGCCATGAACATACCTGAGGAAGGATTTTCCAAGAAATGAAACAGCAAATACTAAGGCCCAGATGCAAGGACAAGTTTAGCAAGCTCACAGAAGACCAGTCAAGCCAGTAATACTACCAGTAAAAAAGAGCAAGAGGAGGAGAGACAGGACACAAGGTAGGGGATGGAGGGGTGAAGGTAACTAGGTTCTAAGGGCTGTCTTAATAATTATCGTGTTCCCTGAAGTCCTGTGGTCCACTAGGCAGTTAAATCTGAGCCTCGGTTAAATATCTGGGTGTAACTAACAAGGGGTTGAAAGCATTAATGCAGCTTTCCAAACTGCTTATCTAAATTGGAATAGAGGAAGAGAAACCAGCTTGTCAAGACCCTGAGTAGTTTGTCCCATAACTTTCCACCATTCTCCTTACTCTTACCATTCCTAAAGACAGATGAGATTTAGCATCCCCAGTAAAGAAGGAAGGAGTTCCCTTGCACCCCGCAGCCCCAGGGCTGGAGGAAACAGTGGGGCACGTGCCCATGGGCTCTCGTTCTTGCACATTTTCACTTTGGACAATCAAATCCCACACCAACCCATAAAGCCTGCTTACTTTTTTACTTATAATTATTTTATAATAATAAAATCCCATACTTGTTTGCACATGTTTTAAATGTCAATGGAATCATGTAGCCTCTATCTAGATTACTTATATCTTTTTTAAAGATAAATTAATCTTGATTTGTATAAATTAAAAAACCATGTGAGTTTTATCATCTATTACCCTTAAATCAAAATAGGATTCAGTTCTGAATAAGCACTAGATTCTACTTGGGACGCCTATTGTTATTCTTTCAAAATCCAGGTGGAGAAGGCAAGAGGGGCATTCATTAGATCATTCCCAAGCTATTTTATTAATGAACTGATTACGACAACAGTCTTGATGGTTTAGGGGACACATCTGAATCCTCACAGCTTCCGATTTTCGTTCATGGCTCCACTTTGTGAAGCTGCCCCAAGCAGTCAGTCTATTCCTCTACTGTTGCCCTTTAGCTCTCAAGGCCACCCAGGCCGCATGCCACCTCATTTCCTCTGCTCTCTCTAGACACTTGGTCTCCAGGTTCCTCAGCATCTGGGATACTGCTGTGCTCTGGTTCTTCAGCAAGTGGTTCCACGAAACATGGTGCCAAGGATTAAAAATGATTCCGCACATGTTGTCTCTCCAGTAGAGAGAGATGGGCCAGTTAAGCTGTCTTCATTGTTTCTTCCTTATTTGGCAGTCTTTCTTTTTCTCTCAAGTTCCTTCCTCTTTATGGGTCCCTTGCTATTTGTGGACAACATTTAGCTATTTCCCTGCTCCCTTTCCTGAAAATATAAACAGTGTCTGGTACCTAATTTTCTTTTTCATGCCTCATATCACGTTTGTTCCCCATCTTTAAGCTTTCTGTTTGGGCATGTGTTTGCCTTCAAGTGTGTAGCATTTGGTACAGTGATCAATTATCCTGGTTAATTGCTCCTCATTTGAGTATCCCTATTCTTTCTCATGAAAGACCAGACAAGCCGACTTCCTCTCACTGACCAGGTGCACCAGATCTCTTACTTTTCCCCAATTTGCCATTTGGCAGTTTAGTGCTTACTTGCCAGCTCATTCACTGAGGGGCTAATTTGAGGAGCTTGTGCTTGCGCAGGGGCAGCTGTCTCTTCTGTTCTCTGCCCTCCTGGCAGTGAGACAGCGTTGTTTCCCCTTCTCTGGGGGTCGCCCATGGATCTGCTAAATAGGCAAGAGGAAGCACTTCTGTAAGTGGGGGAGACATGCATCTTTACAAACCCAATTAAGCCTTCTCTCCTCATTCCCAGGTATCTTGGTAACTAATGTCCACTTTGTCTTTCTGGGGTTGTAAAATGAGGCTAATGGCCCTTTCTCATTACTTCCCAGCGACACTGGGCTTTTTAAACACCTCTATTCTGTGCCTTGTTTACTGGTTTACATTATTTGCTCTTCTTTTTAAATGTGATTTCCTCTTGCTTATGTAACACACCCCCTAAAAAATATGTGTGTTAGTAGTTCTTATGCTGCATATTTAAGAATTCAGATGAGTCAAAAGTGGGCAAAGAGAAAGTACACTCTGGTACCCTAAATTAAAATTCCAGTCAGCAGCCCTTTGGAGATGTAAATTGAGGCAGCAGCTTCCCTTTCCGACAGCTTAATGATCTGTAGTTAATAGTAAGAGGCTGCTGGGCAGATGCAGTACATACAGCTGGGCTTAGGTTTGCCTCTCTCAGCTTTCCAAATTGCGCAGTGATTCCTACCCAGAATCAATAACCAAGAGCACAAAGATGTGGTGATGCTTTTTCAGTGTAGCATTTTCCACACCATGTTCTGCCCAAGCCAGGAGCCGATGCCTCCTTCCTCAGCCCACCCCAGGCTGGGCAGTCACCTGCACAGCAAATAGCCCCTCCAGCAAGTCTAGGACAAAAAGTGCTGAATTTAAAGCCATTCTCTCCTCTTACTTGAGTGCACGCAATCTCACGGAACTTGAGAGAAATTGAGTGCAATCTCTTGGTAGCAAAATATGTTTGGGAACCACATATACACTGATGGAAACAACTTATGTGTTCTCAAGCCTCGTATGTAAAATTGGCTTCGATTACTATGTGTTGGGGCAACCGATCATTTTACAATTTCCAAGGTCTTCCTATTTTTCACTTAAAAGTCCAAGTGAATTCTACAACAAGTAAACAAATAAATAAAAAACCTATTCAAAAATAGGCAAAAGACTTGTATAGACATTTCTTCAAACAAGATATACAAATGGCCAATAAGCATGTGAGAAGATTCCCAGTGTTACTAATCATTGAGGAACGACAAAGCAAATCAATAATGAGGTATCACTGCACACCCATCAGAATGAGTATTCTCAAAAACAGAACAGAAAATAAGTACAGATATAGAACAACTGGAACCGCTGGGCAGTGCTGGTGGGAGAGGAAAACGGTGCAGCTGCTACAGGAAACAATATGACAGTTCCTCAAAAATAGAACTGCCATAGGATTCCCTGTGTATTCCCTCAGTATTCCCTGCTGAGGAGACCCCAAAGAGTGAAGAGTGGGGCTGAAAGGGATATCCGTATACACATGCTCGTAGAGCCCTTATCCACATGGCCAAAAGGCATAAGCAACCCAAGTGGCCATTGATGGGTGAATGGAAAAGCACAATGTGATGTAGACATACAATGAACATGACTCAGCATTGAAAGGGAAGGGAATTCTAACATATGCTACAACACAGAAGAGCCTTGAGGACATTATGCTCAGTGATATAAGTCAGACACAAAAAGACAAAGAGTGTGTGATTCTACTTCTTCAGGTACCTAGAATAGTCAAGTTCATAGAGACAAGAAGTAGAATGGTGGTCACCAGGGGTTGGGGAGGGGGCGGAATGAGGAGTTATTGTCTCCTGGATACAAAGTTTCACTTTTGCAAGATGAAAAAACTTCTGGAGATGAATGGTAGAAATGGTTGCACAACAGTACAAATGAACTTAATAAGGTCACTGAACTGTGCATTTAAAATGGTTAAGATGGTAAATTTATGTTATGTATATTTCAGCATAATTTTTTAAAGCCAGAGTAAAAGATGCCTTTTTTTTTCTCAGCAATCCAGGCTTTGGAGGGACAGATTAGAAATGGAAGAAAATAATAGCTGGGGGAGTAGATCTTGACTTTATAGGCAACTAATTATAAATATCTCTTTTTACAGAGTCATTTTTCCCTCAAGAAGGGAGCTGCAGCCCTGGGCATTGGAACAGACAGCGTGATTCTAATTAAATGTGATGAGAGGTGAGCATGAATATGAACCCTTGTGGGTTAGCAGTTTGCATATTTCACACATATACCCTTCAGTCCCAGAACGGGCAATGACTGTGGGACAGTAAACCTGCCTCCATCCTGGCCACTGCCACTCACTTTCTTTTTCACGGGGACTCTTTTGCTTGGAGTTCCAGGGCGGTGTCCCACTATGCCAGGAAGCCTTCCACTGCCCTTGACTGAATCAGAGGCTTTGTGAAATCAGCCTAAATATTCTGCACCAAGACGGTGCATGAGGACACTTAAGCAGCAACCAGCAACTTGAGCACTGACTTATTGTGATGTCATCATTCTAGGCATCATGGACAGTGTAAACTTAATGGCCTAATTACAAAAGGGGGGACATTTTAGTGAGCAGGGAGTAAATAATGCCCCAGCCAGTCATCAGCTTTGTGCTGGAACCAGAGGGGAATCCTTGTTTTAACTGACACCCATACCTCATAGGCACTCTGTGAATAGCTGTGGGAGAGATTTAAAAGCATTTTCAGGATATTGACATAAATTATCATTGGCTTATTTGTCTGAAACCTGTAAAAAATCAAATACATTGAGTAAAAATTTTCACTAAAGGAAACCACTCAGTCGACCACTTATTTATTCATATGAATTTATTACACAGACACTTATGATTGACCACCATATTGCTAAGCTCTAGAAAAAGATAAGGCATAATGCCCATGCCATGAGAGTGTATGTTCTAGGTAGAGAGAGAGGGTAGCATCAGAAGAGACATTTTATGGTTGAATTGTGTGGCCCCGAGTACATATTCTATACATTGCTAAGGCTTGAAAGGCTTCATGCAGCAGGAAGGGCCTGGGCTGGATTTTTTAAATTGGAGATGAATTGGACGGGGGCAATTGGAGAAGACTGAATGCCATGAGCAAAGCCACAGATGTAGGAATGAGCTTGTGGGGCTCCAGGAGCTGGGCCTGACCAGAGATGAAGGGAGGGAGATCATGGCAGATAGGGTGGCCATGTGCGATTTTGAAAGCTCAAAAACCAAACTGAATAATAACCACATCTCCCTCTGGGAGATGAAATTACAAGAGATTGCCACTTTCTTGGTCACACTTGTATATATTGTCTGATTTTGTTTGTTTGCAAGGAACACATATTTCTTTTACAATAAGGAAAAAAAGTAATGTTTTATTTTTCCTTCTGTGGCGGGGGGGGGGGCATTGTAGCTATATAGCATTTGAGCTTGATGTGTCTGAAGCCCAGGTAACTTGCAAGCACTTTTACTGTTGAAGGGCTTGAATGAAACCACCCTTCATGACTCTGATAGTAAGACGGGTGTGAAATGATAGAAGATTGGAGTGAGGTGAACACATTTTGAAAAAGGAACTGCCTCATATTTTTAAGGCTACCAGTGTTCCTCACTATCAGATAGTTAAGAAGAAAGATTTAAGAAGAAAACTGGCACACACACAAATTTCTAACTGGAAATAAAGGTTTAAAAAACAAATAATTTTCTTAATCTATAGTTAAATGGTTATAAGTAATGAGCCTACACTTCAGGGAAGAATTTCCTGACAGGTCCTGGTTTCCAATCTAGTCAGTTTTCCTCCTTAGCTCAACTCGTAGGTGTCCTTGAGTTGAATCCCAATGGGCTGAGAGACGACCTGGGAGAACAGAGAGGACCCTTGACTCCACTCCTTACTGTGCCAGTATTGCTGCTTCTGATCCTGTGAAGATCAGGTTGTGACCAAGGAAATGGCCTGGGGATGAGTCCACCAGGCCTGCTAGCCAGGTATTCATGAGAGCAAAAGGCTGGCCTGGGGACATCTGACTGTCTGGAGGCAGCTTCATGCTCCAGAGAGAAGTGCAGGCCTGGAAGAAGGCGAGAAAGAAGGGAAAGCAAAGTGCTGCAGGGGTGGAACCACAGACAGGGCCACCAGGACAGAGGACAGAGGGTACCTGCCGTCCACCCACCGCAGAGCCAGCGGCCTTTGTCCCCTTCTGCTCACAGGCCTTGTGGGATGGGGAGAGAGGAGGGAGCACACAGGAAGAAGAAAGAAAAAGGGGGGAAATAGTAATAAATAAAAAGTGGGATAAATAAGAACTAGGACAACAATCTTGTGTTGGATGTGTAAAGTGAAGCAAGGAGGAGAAAGGTATGGGGAAATGTGAGAGGGAGCAGTAGACACATGAGAGCTTTAAAAGGAATAAATGATTATTTCTACCATTAAAAAGGCAATATAAGCTTATTTTTTAAGTAGAAAATAACAGGGAAATATAGTTCTATCACCCAAAGATCATCAGTACTAAGTACATTGGTTGTCTAAACCTTTGAATCTGTTTTTAAGCATAGAGGTTTATTTTTTCTTTTTTTTAAGATTTTATTTTATTTAATTTTTTAGAGAGAGGGGAAGGGAAGGAAAAAGAGAGGGAGAGAAACATCAATGTGTGGTTGCCTCTCACATGTCCCCCAGCAAGGACCTGGCCGGTAACCTAAGCATATGCCTCGACCAGGAACTGAACCTGTGACACTTTGGTTCACAGCCAGTGCTCAATCCACTGAACTACACCAGCCAGGGCTATTTTTTTTGTCTCTCACTTTTTAGTAATATTTGCATTGATCATGTCTGTTTTTCTAAATAGACATGATACCATAAATATTTTTCTACATTATTACAAACACAACACACTTAACTACATTATTTTTGAGGTGTAACTGTCAGAAAACATGATAGTTCTTTGAAGGGCTGGCTCTGGAGCCGGGCTGTTTAAATAGAGCTCAGCTCTGGCATGAGCTGAAACAAATGCCTCTGTGGCTATTCCCTTATCTAAAAAAAGGAAAAAGTAATGGCACCTACTTCATAACATTGTTGTGCATATTAAATGCATCGACAAATGTAAAATGCTAAACATGACAGCTAGAACAGAGCAAGCACAAAATATTAGTCCCCTATTTTTTATACCACTAGTTCTGGTGTTGCTGTTATAAATAACTTCTACATTCTTCAGTGAGTGTTCTTATGTGCCCGGGGCCTCTCCATTTATGGTTATTTCTCAGAATAATTGTTAGCTTAAACTACATGCACATTCTTAAGTAATGCATTAAGGCCAAATTGCCTTTCAAAGGGTTTCATAAATTTACTCCTGGTGATTTCATTGCATGAGAATATTTTGGAAAAGAAAATTAGAGACTACATACAGGTAGTCTTTAATTCAAATAACTCACACCATCATACAGCATGAGTTTAAGATCGAGAGCCTGGCATTAATGGATTAAGTGAACTTGGAGTGTTTGGGTTCAGGAGTCAAGGAGAAAGCCTTGAACAGTCATCTGTAGCCACCCTTCCAGCCAGAATCTGTTAAAACACTCTCAGCAGCCTTTTTGTTTTCATTGTCAAGTCCTCGTGAAAGTCAGATGTGCAGTTCAGAAAACCACTTGAGGCTGACAAAGTACATACCTTCATTCCTCTTTCTCTTAATGTGCTTTACAAAGTTCATCCAGACTTTGTAAAATGTGAATCTGGACGTGCTCTCTAAGGCTTTCACTTCTTGCAGTTACCCTTTCTGACTCTGCACATTAGTTTGTCAGTGACTGGGGTGACGGGTTTTATCTTGTTCTACCCACAGTTGTCTTAGTAGAAAGCTCACAATTAAAGGAAATGTCCTAGTGAAGAGAATAATCTCTGACCTTCTAACAACAAGATCAAAGCTACATGTGGAAGAAGATCCCAAGAAATAATGTCCCTTAATTAGCAATTATAGGGTCTCAGTTTGGTGACCCATCAGAGTGAAACATGGTTCACAGTTAAAATATGGTTCTCAGAAATGTGCAGTAAATAATTTGTTTGGAATAGTTTCTCTCCAAGTTGAAAATTGAACACCATTTTTATTTTACTATGTATACCCTAACAAGTTAAAATAAGATAAGGTAATGGAAAAACTTCAGTTCACAATGGTTTACATTTTAAAGGAAATATCATAACTAAAAAGAGTATTTTATTTTGTAAAAATGAATTATTAAATTCAAAAGAGGAAAATGTGTTAGATGATTCCTTTGTTTCCTAAGTTTTAATTTAAGAATTCCCTTTCCTTGTCAGCAAAAAGGTGAATATTTGCAGTAATGGGATTAATGAACTATTTCAGGTGTCATTGGGTCTAATATTTGCAACACTTGAATTAGTGGAATCTAAAGTAATGATTCATTGGTGTATCTAAGGATAGAGAAGAAAAGTCTCAAGATGTAAAGGAAAAAAAGTATTTGTGGAAGAAACCTGAGTGATATTTCAGAATTGGATTAGGTCACTGACCAAATAAATGTTTCCCAATGGTTCAGACAGAACTAAAAAGAGAAAACCTCTACTCTATGGATGGTAATGTTAAGAATATGAAGCTCTCATATGATGGGAATGAGAGCCCTGCAAGCTACTTCTTTTTGGCTGTAGGCAGTGGCCTTGGTTGGGAACACAGTGGTAGACACGGTGGACATTGTCACAGGTGCACAAAACTTAGTCTGGTGTGCAGAAGGCAGACTTTGATACAAATGGAGACGATGGTACCTTCCAAGCCATGGATGTGGGAGAAGGTGGCTTTCCAAAGGAACTAAAAATAATTTCTTAGGGAAGTGGCCCTAATGCCCTTGTCATGAAAAATCTTATTAGCCATGTTAAGCTGTTTTGCCTTTAGGCTGAAGACATGGAACATCACTGAAGGATTTTAAGGAGGGGAGCAACTTCATATTTTTATGTTAGAAAAATCATTTTAAGCACCCAGTGGAATGTGGGTTAGAGGTTGGAAGTTGGTGGCTGTGATGAGATGAATAGAAGAGGAAACATGGAAGCTGACCCAAGGTAGAGCCACCACGGAGTGATGGAATTAATGGGAATTATTAACTGATTGGTATGCAGGGTGAGCGAGGAGGCAGGATGAATGCCAGGCTTTTGCCTTGCCAGTGAAGTCCATGTGGTGCTATTTTCTCTGGTAGGGAGCCATGGGTGAAGTGAAAAACTCAGATTTGG